TAAGAGTTCTAGAAGATTAAAGTATTTTATTGACTTCATTCTATCCATCAGCTTGAGTGCTTATTTTAACAGTATATGCTCTCTGGTATAACATTCACCCCTCTGAATATCATATATCTCTTGTATTTTTATAAGATGCAAAATTTGCTACTTTTTGCCATGGAGGAAAGGTTAGTGGAGTTTATTTGAATACCTTGGAAAGTAGAATTTTTTTATTTCTGTAGGTTATGAAGCATTTTTATATGTAATAGTTGATTCTTTGAACTTTTAAGGTAAACTGAGCAGATATTAGCCTCATTTGCCTCATTTAACAGATGTTAAATTGAGTCTTGTCTGTATGATTGGTAATATATTTCCTTCTAATTCATGTCTTAAAGGCTTTTCTAACAAGGAGTAGGTCCTTTCAGGTTCTAAGTTCTTTATGTACATAAGTGGAAGTTAATACCTCAGCGTGGTATATACTACCTGAAGCATTGATTCTACCATCTGCAACTGGTTTAATCTTTCTTATATATGAACTTTATTTTTAAAAAATCAGTAAGAAAGATGTCTTCCATGTATTTTTCTTACTAATGTGGTCTTAAGGTAGATTTTCTTAAATTAAAGTATGTTATAGATGAAAGGGGACCATATGTCATTTAACTTAAATTCCTTATTTTATATAAGAAAATCTAGGCCGGGTGCAGTGGCTCAAGCCTGTAATCCCAGCACTTTGGGAGGCCGAGGCGGGTGGATTACAAGGTCAAGAGATCGAGACCATCCTGGTCAACTCGGTGAAACCCCGTCTCTACTAAAAATATAAAAAAAAAAATTAGCTGGGCATGGTGGCGCGTGCCTGTAATCCCAGCTACTCGGGAGGCTGAGGCAGGAGAATTGCCTGAACCCAGGAGGCAGAGGTTGCAGTGAGCCGAGATCGCATCATTGCACTCCAGCCTGGGTAACAAGAGTGAAACTCCATCTCAAAAAAAAAAGATAATCTAAACCTTAGAGAGCTTAAATATCTTGCCCGGGGATTCATATTGCTCAGTGATGGAGCTGGGGACTTGAAGTTAGATAATATAAGACAAATTCACTGCTTTTTCAACTACACTATATTGTCTTTTAATGAATTTAATTAGAGCAAAATATGGCATTTGACTCTGAGGCTGCAAGTATTTATAATGATCTGGGTAAAAGGTTCCATTAATTTTTTTTTAAAATTATTTTAGTAATAAAATTTATATCCAGGCACATGATGATTATTTTAATTTTAATTGAGTGAAAGGTGTAGCCACTTCTTTATTATTTAGTTATGCCTGTGAGGTCAGAATATTTTAATTTCTTGGTCAAATTAATCTTAATATAATTATTACATATATAAAATAATTAACAATTCAAATAATACATGCAGTTTGCTTAATTTACCTTATAGCATTATACTTTCTAATGTCTGGTAATAAACAGATAATGATTTTTTTTTTTGCTCTGGACTCTTCACATCAACTCAGTAAGTCACTGAACTGATTACCAGCAGTATTTCTTCATGCTTTAGAGATTAGTAAGATAAATTTTGTTTTTAAGCTTTAGTATTCTACCATAGAGATAGCTTTAAATTAAGAGAATATGACAAATTGATTTTCTTAAAATAATTACAAGAAAACTAGGTATTTCCAATTAATCAGCTTGGTTATCCTTAAATTATGACTTTTCTTTGTTTATTGTGGACTTTTTGCCCACTGATAACTCTTAAGCCCATTTTAGTTCATAATTTTGCTTATTTCAAAATACAGTAAGACATTTCTTTTTACAAGAACTGACAACTTACCAAAGAAACTAATAGAAAACATTACAATGTATAGTTTCACAATTTAAGCTATAGAAATTATTTGATTTTTTTAAATTTTGATTATACTTTAAGTTCTGGGTTACATGTGCAGAACGTACAGTTTTGGTGGTTTGCAGTACCCATCAACCTGTCATCTAGGTTTTAAGCCCTACATGCATTAGATATTTGTCCTAATGTTCTCCCTTCCCTTGCCCCCTACCCCATGACAGGTCTGGGTATGTGCTATTCCCCTCCCTGGGTTCATGTATTCTCACTCACTCCCACTTATGAGTGAGAACATGCGGTGTTTGATTTTCTGCTCCTGTGTTAGTTTGCTGAGAATGATGGTTTCCAGCTTCATCCATGTACCTGTAAAGGACATGAACTCATTCTTTTATATGGCTGCATAATCTTCCATGGTATATATGTGCCACATTTTCTTTATTCAATCTATCACTGATTGGTATTTAGGTTGGTTCCAAGTCTTTACTATTATAAGTAGTGCTGCAGTAAACATTTGTGTGCATGTGTCTTTATAGTAGAATGATTTATAATCCTTTCGGTATATACCAGTAATGTGATTGCTGGGTCAAGTGCTATTTCTGGTTCTAGATCCTTGTAGAATCACCACGCTGACTTCCACAATGGTTAAACTAATTTGCACTCCAACCAACAGTGTAAAAGCATTCCTATTTCTCCACATCCTCACCAGCATCTGTTGTTTCCTGACTTTCTAATGATTGCCATTCTAACTGGTGTGAGATGGTATTCTGTTTTAGAGAATGAAAGTATCGTTCAAATTGGAGAATCGTTACCTTCTTACTGGGTAGAAGTTCCCTCAGTAGAGCTTGACATCAGCACACATGCACATGTCATATTTTGTGAATTCCAGTGCTATGCTCTATGACCAGCTAATATTAGAGGGCATTATAAATTTATATATATGTTATATATATCTTTATTTTGGGTGAAGTAATGACATTCTTTTCCAAAAAGAATATTTGGGAGGGTAATTGCTTTTGAATTATCCCAAAGTATCATTCTTTTAAAATGCTCTTGTATCTTTTTGCGCCTTTTATTGATAATAATTAAAAAAAAAAACATTTTAAGCATGTTTGATAACTTGTGGAAATTAACTTCAAGAACTGGATTTTAGTATATGGTAATATTCTGGTTGCTGTTTTAATTTTTCTTATAAAAAATCGGTGATTTAGTTCTTAGATCTATTTATTAAATAAGTGATAAAGATTATGTTAGCTTTCTGAGAGGAATAATTATGTTATTCTTTTCTTGTGTTAATATTACTTAATGCATGCTTAGTACGTAGTTTTTCCATGTGCTGAATATATTTTTCTCAATAGTTTTATAAGATTTTTCCTTTGTCATCTGTTTAACAAGTATATTCTCATATATACTTTAAGCAAGTTTAATATATCGTGCTTTTTAATATTTTGTATTGATGAATTTTAAAATCATTGCTTAGTATTTAAGGGAATACATGAAAACTGTAAGCAAGTTTAATAGTTAGCGTGTGATGTTATGTAGACCATCATTTTGAAGACATTCTTATCTGAATGAACCTAGTGGTTTTCATTTAGTAACTCTGGATGGTTAGTGGACTTAAGTGATTTAGATAAATTAGATTGTTCTCCCTAAATAACTTAGCTTCTGGTATTGGAGAAGGACAAATCAGGCAAATCTTAGCTTTGCTTTTGTAGTGTTTACTGCTTAACTGCCACTATGCAACATTGCATCCATCTGAAATTACAGTTTGTCACTATCCACCAGTCAAATAGCGCAGTGGAGTCATAGGAAAATGAGAAAACAAAACAGTTCTGTTACTGTATTTGAATGCATTCTTACCAATATCTATTTTGATTTGCCTGTTTAGTTCTCTGTGAACTCATTAAATGTCTTGCACCAGGTTATATGGAGTCATAATTGTACTTTTAAAAATTAGTTTGTTACTTCTAAAGGAAAATGTTTTTTTAATTTGTCTTCCATGTGATAAAAGAATTTTAACATCTCTAAAATATTCAGCAGAAAATATGGGGAAAATGTTACATATTTAAGATTATTTTTAGGAAATTACAGGTATGAAAAGTTTATGTTTGATATTTGGGAAAAAATGATAAAATGAATTATGTACAATCACAAATAATGTAGTTTCTTTTTTGTCTTTTTAGTAATAAAATTTGTTGTATCCAGGTACGTGATAGTTCTATTAGTTTTATTAATAGTTGAGTGAGAGTTGTAGCCATGCTACCTCTTTATTTAATTTTGTTTGTAAGGTCAGAATATCTTCATTTACTAGTCCACTGACTCTTAATATAAATATTATATGTATAAAATAATAATTCACATATTGCATACAGTTTGTATAACTAGGTGATCTTAGTCTTTGTGGTTTTTTTTTTTTTTTTTTTGAGACGAAGTCTGGATCTATCACCCAGGCTGGTCTGCAGTGGCAGAGTCTCGGCTCACTGCAACCTCCGCCACCCAGATTCAAGTGATTCTTCTGCCTTACCCTCCTGAGTAGCTGGGATTAAAGGCACCCACCACCATACTGGGCTAATTTTTGTATTTTTAGGAGAAACGGGGTTTCACCATGTTGGCCAGGTTGGTCTCGAACTCCTGACCTCAGGTGATCCACCTGCCTTGGCCTCCCAAAGTGCTGGGATTATGGGCATGAGCCACCTCGCCTGGCAGATCTTAATCTTAATATGATTATACTTTCTGTTGTCAGGTGATAAACAGAACAAGATTCCTTTTATTCTAGATTCTTCAAATCGTCTCAGAAAGTCACTGAACTGATCACTAATGGTATTTCTTCAGACCTTGGAAATTAATAAGATAAATTTTGTTCTTAAAATGTAGTAATTTACCACAGAGATAGCCTATAGGTGAAGAGAATATGACAGATTGATTTGCCTAAAATAATTACAAGCAAACTAGATATTTCCAACAATACCAGTTTGGATATCTTTAAATCATGAATATGTATCCTGATCTTTTCACCACTGACAACTAAGTATTATGCTCATTTTAATAGGTAATTTTGCTTGTTTAAAAATTCAGTGAAACATTTTTCACAAAAACTGATAATTTATATATAAAACTAAGAGAAAAAGTTAAAATGTGAAGTTTCACAATTTTAAGCTACAGAAATTATTTATTACATTCTTTCCTGTTTTAGAGAATGGAAGTGTTGTCCAAGTTGGAGAATTGTTACCTTGCAAGATTTGCGGAAGAACATTCTTTCCAGTAGCATTAGTGAGTAGACTGATTTTGTACCTTTAAGGTTTTACAGATCTGTAATTGTTCAGTAATTCTGGTCAATTCTTATGGAAAGAACTTAACTGGAATAGTTTTTGAAGAGTTAATGGGTAATATTCTTTGTTCAAGTGTCTTGATTTCAGCTATGTCATTCTTCCAGAATTCTTTCTTTTCTTCAGAGGTTGGTCTTCAGAACTCTTCTATTAAAGTTTAAAGTTATTCCTAGTTTTATGAGACTTACCAAAAACAAACAAAATCACACAAAACAGTACCTTAGAGATAAGTAATTATTTACAGATACAAAATAGTGTAATATCTGGGATTTGCTTTATAGTACTTCAGGAAAAAAGTAGGGATAAATGAAACAAAATTACCAAAGTGTTGGTAATTGTTGAAGCTGGGTGATGAGTAGTAAATGGGAGTTAATTATCCTTTTTTGTCAGTTCTTATTTATGTTTGAACTATTTCAGTGAAAAAGTTTTTTTCAATATAAAAGTACACCTAAGACTTATTATGCATTCTTTAGATATGTTAGCTACTTAGTAAATATAAATAAAAGCACTTTAAACAAATCTTTATAAAAATCAGCTAAATAGGGAATAAAAATTTTGCCTACGTACCTTATGTATTTTAACCTCAAGCATAGATGAACATTTATTAATACTTTGATGTAAGACATAATTTTTCTTTGAATATGGATTTGCTCATTAAAGTTCTGCCACAATCTACTATGCATCCTGTTACTATTTCTAGTTTGTTTTTTTAAAGCAAAGTGGGGAATTAATGATCCAAAGTGTCGTGATTGTAGGTACCTTTTAAACAGTGATGGCTTTTTTGTACTCTTTTAAAAACATCTTGCCTACACATTCAGTGATTTTTTTTTCTTATCACTTTATTATTTTTTAGAGTTTTCATCCAAATTTCATGGCCAAAAAAAAGCCTTTTTTGGCCCTCATGTAGTATTTAATTGAATGATGTTATCATTAAAACAACTACATGTTATCATGAGTCATCATGTTGGGAAACCAGCACCACATACACTTGACATACATAATTCAGTGAGGAACATACGCATATGAGTCCACTAAATAATCATCTGCTATCCTCATTTTTTGTTAAATGCTTAAGAGCTGTAATTACAATGCTTGTTTTTTGAAATGAAAACTGAAAATAAGTATGTAAAGCAGTTGATTACTAATTGTGTACTGAAAGCCTAAGAGCCTCCAAGACACCAAATAAACCAGTTTTAAGGTTTTGTTTTTCCTCAGAGAAAATTTGAGAGTTCCAACTTCTTCAGTGTTTATCAAAATACAAAAGAAAAAAGTGTGTTTAGTGTAACATTGTCATCAGTCATCATGCTTAATATAGTGGAGAGAGAATGTTTATTCAGTTGGTTCATTGGAGGTTATTTAAGAAAGCTTCCACTCTATTGTCCCTAAACTGAATTATTGAATGAATGAATTGACAACTCTGTTTAAAAAAAAAGAAAACCTGTAAGAGTAGTGGAACACTAGATAGCTCAAGAAAACTTACTTCTAGGTGAAGAAGCTGCAAAGTTTCAGTTCCAGATTAGTGTTCGGGAAAGACACAAATCAAACCACCTGTCCTATTATTTTGTGTTAAATTTATGTTAGCATATTACTATTATGTTAACTTTAGGAATCCAAACTACTACTCATGTTAACTTTTGTAATCCTAAAACTAATGTATTCTTTTCATTTTCTTTTTCTAGTATCTATGCTCAGGTTTTTAGTAAAGACTTTATCTTTCTTTTTCACTATAGCATCTTTGACTTTGCTACTATCTCTTATTCTTAGTGTTACAGGACAGAGAAATATGTTACAGGAAAGGGGTTCCAATCCAGACCCTAAGAGAGGGTTTTTGGATTTTGCGCATGTAAGAATTTAGGGCACACTGGCAGTGCAAAGTGAAAGCAAGTTTATTAAGAAAGTGAAGGAATGAAAGAATGACTACTGCATAGACAGAGCAGCCCCAAGTGCTTCTGGTTGGGCATTTTTATGGTTATTTCTTGATGACATGCTAAACAAGGGGTCGATTATTCATGCCTCTCCTTTTTTAGACCATATAAGGTAACTTCCTGATGTTGCCATGACATTTATTAATGGTCAAGGTGCTGGTGGGAGTATAGCAGTGAAGATGACCAGAGGTCGCTCTTGTCACCATTTTGGTTTTGGTGGGTTTTGACCAGCTCCTTTACTGCATCCTGCCTAGGGTCTTTATGACCTGTATTTAGTGCTGAACTCCTATCTTATCCTGTGACTTAATATGCCCTAACGGTCTAGGAATGCAGTCCTGTAGGTTTCAGCTTCATTTTACCCAGCTCCTGTTGAAGATGGAGTTGTTCTGGTTTATACACTTCTGACATTTCTAATGTACAAACTAGGAGAAGAGTATTAAATAATAAAATGTTAGAAAAGTGTTTACAATTTCTTTTAGTGAGAAAGTTAACTTAAAGCATGCATTATATATATGTTTTAAAACTTAACTTTTAAAGGCAAGGTGTATCTTATTTATTTATTTTGTATTCAGATTTCTCAGTCAGTCTCAGTTTTAAACTGGTTTCAATGTAAATAAAGTTCTATATAGTCTTACCTTCTGTAGAAAAGAAAATGATAGGCTGCATTTCTTCATCTTAACAGAAAAAACATGGACCCATTTGCCAGAAAACTGCCACTAAAAAACGGAAGACTTTTGATTCAAGCAGACAGAGAGCTGAAGGAACGGATATTCCAACAGTAAAACCTCTCAAACCGAGGGTAACTATATAACCTTTTGAACAGTGTGAACCTTATGTGTGTTGAAAAAAATTAAAATTATCTGTTAGATTAAGATTAAGAATAAACATAATTATCTGCTACATTAAGATTAAAGAATAAGTACAACTCTGTGTTATATGTTCAGCTTAGAAATTATCAGAAGCTTATAAGCTTATAAAACAAATTTTATTTTAAATAAACTTTTAAACTCTTCAAAGGAGAGACCAAGGTGCTGTCTCCATCAATTACAGTGAGATTTTTTTTTTTTTTTGAGGAGTCTCACTCTATTTCCCAGGCTGGCGTGCAGTGGCATGATCTCGGCTCACTGCAACCTCTGCTGCCAAGGTTCAAGCAATTCTCGTGCCTCAACCTCCTGAGTAGCTGGGATTATAGGCACCTGCCATTATGCCCGGCTAATTTTTCTATTTATATTAGAGATGGGGTTGCACCATTTTGACCAGCTGGTCTTGAACTTCTGACCTCGTGCACCACCCACCTTGGCCTCCCAAAGTGCTGGGATTAACAGCGTGAGCCACCATGCCTGCCTACAGTGAGATTTTTACAGCATTGGAGAGCGAATTGCTGCCCCACATTCTTTTCATTATTTAAAACTTAAGGTATAACTTAAGTTTTGGCTTATTACTATCTTCTACCATTATGATAATCTCTAATGCATAAAGTTAAGCAATTATTTATAGACATTTTAGCGTAATAGATGCTGCTTATCTTTACTTATTGACTGGCAGAATTTGTAATCTATATTATGTTTCTAAGGAAATGTTTTATCAGTTGTTCAGTGTCCACATATAGTTATTGTCAGCTTATTTTCTTTCTTGAAACCAAAGCTATAAAACTGTTGTGAAAATCTCTCCTTAATATCTGTTATATATTATAGTAATCCCTTGGTATCTGTAGGAGATTGGTTCCAGGACCCACCTCTGATACCAGTATCTGTGAATACTCAAATTCCTTATGGCATAGTATTTGCATGTAACTTATGCACATCCTCCCATATACTTTAAATTATGTCTAAATTACTTATAATTTAATGCTTTGTAAATCAGAATTGTCTTTATATTACTTTTTATTGTTCTATGGTTATTTTTTATTTTTCTTTTCCTGAATGTTTTTGATTCATGGTTGAATCCATGGATGCACAAGCCACGAATGTGGAACCCATGGGTAGTAAGGGCCGACTGTGTATTGCTAAGAATAAATTACATAAATACTTTATTCAGCATAGTTGTTAGGCATAATTTCATTGAAGTGGTCTAAGCTAAGTACATGATTGGATAGGTTTTTGAAACAAAACCCTACTATTAATGGTGATAACTTCTTCTGGTGGTATAAGAACATTTTTCTGTGGGGAAATTAATCTTACTAATAAAATCATTCGATGATCGAAAAATTTGATATTCATATTTGTGTTTTACTGTGAACATTTAAAGTAAGGGTGATAAAGTTTAAATAAGGTACATAAATCAATATATGAAGTTTTTCTTGGTTATCTGCTACCTATATTAGCTTTAATTTGCTTTCGTAGATAAAATTGCCAAATCTTTGGAGGCAGTATAATATAGTGGGTGTTAAACTTGGCTCAAGAGTCAGACTGTCTGAATTTAACCTTCACTATGCTACATACGATGCTATTCTGGGCAAGTTAGTTAATGTAATTATGTTTCTGTTCACTGCAAGCTGGTGATAGTAGTAGTATTTATCTTTATCATGTATGATTATTGTAGGGATTACATAAGATTATCCATGGCAATTTCAATGGATGTTAGTCATCCTATTTCTTTTATAAGGAATTGGGGTTGTAAACTTAAAAACTGAATTCTAGAAAAAAGCAAAGTAAAAACCATTACTTTGTATTAAGTGGGTTATTGCCTTGTTACCTAAAACTATGGCCCATAGAGCAGTAATAGCAGCAGTATTTGGGAACTTGTTATACGTGCAAAATCTGTCTCCTCCCAAAGGTACTGAATTAGAATCATTTTAAGAAATCTTGGGTGAGTCATATGCACATTAAAGTTTGAGAAGCAGTGTCTTAGAAGATTTGATTGCTCTAAGTGTAGTTCTTAATATATTTACCTGTATCAAGAAAATCCTATAAACTCATTAGCAGAGTGGGGCAAAGCAACTGTAAATTTCATTTTTGGAAAAACAAAAGGTACGTAATTCACAGATTACCCCTAAGGACTATCCAAAGCAGTTGAAGTCCAGGAGAAATTACCCATAAGAGGAGGTACATGAAATTGCTTGGGGGCCTGTGGCTAGATTCTGGAAATCTGCTACCTTAAAGGTGAGGAGTTTCCTCATCTTAAAAGTAATTCCTTAAAGGTGAGAGATCTTATCAGACAGTGTATTTATCTCTTGTTTAGTATAGCAAAGGCAGAAACTGGGAGGAACTGTAGGAATTTGGATAGCTACCAACTGGAATGAGCAAGGCTGAAATTGTACAAAAGCCAGGAAGGAGAGAATGGTGGGAGTAGAAACAGATAGTTGAGGAGGCCTAGCGACAGAGGCCCTTAGAAAACACTAATGAAAATGCCTTTTCTGAAGATGAGGGGCCTAACCTAAAAGGCCATGTCCTGTTTTTGAAGTGATTCCCATAGGATCTGAGGGAAGCAGGGTATAATCACACCGAGAAGCCTTATTTACAGGAACTAGTCTGTATATGTTGCAACAGAGAGGAGAGCTGCTGGTTTGTATAGCTACCCTGAGCCTGTTCTCCCTAAAAATTTTTGCAAATAGCTGTACCACTAAAGCCATGCTGAATAGTAGAAATGAATAATGGAAGTGATGCATAATAGAAAATTTATTAACTCAGCATTGATAAAAGATACCATGAGATTAAAGTTGGCAAAGAACAACAAAACTTATTAGTAGATGATTAATAATCATTGTGGAGCAGATGAATGTGGTGATCAGATATTTTGCTATAAAATAAGAAACTTTAAACAGTAATCTCAAACATCTAAATTTGCCGACATTTAAGATGTTATCTATATTCATGAGAGAAGTAGATCTGTAATTCTTTTTGTCAAAAGTTTTTGCTGCTCTCCACACACTATTTGGAAAGTTGTTTCTTTGTTTTCTGTTCTCTGAAAGAGTTTGTGTAATATTGAGGCTAGTTTTTTCTTATATGTCTACAAAAATTAAAAGTTAAAGGCAGCTGAGCCAGGAGGTTTCTTTGTGGGAAGGAAAATTTATTGGCATAAAATTTCTTTATAATATCTTCTTTTCTGTCTCATATTTGTATATTTTTTATTTCTTTATAATTTGTGTTCTCTTTTTTTCTTTTTTTTTTTTAAAGAGACAGGGATCTCACTATGTTGACCAGGCTGGTCTTGAACTCCTGGCCATAGGTGATTCTCCTGTTTTCACCTCCCAAAGTGTTGGGATTATAGGCATGAGCCACCATACCTAGCCATCTTTTCAAGTACCATATTTTGACTTTGTGGATTTGACACATAATTCTTTATTTTAAAAATACAGACATAATAGGAATAGTTGGGTATCTCAATAATATTACAGAATAAATCTCTGTAGCATGTGAGCCAGCATCACATATAGTGGAAAGACACTGGAGGCACTCCCATTAAAATCAAGGAGAAGGGGCCAGGCGCGGTGGCTCACACCTGTAATCCCAGCACTTTGGGAGGCCAAGGCGGGTAGATCACGAGGTCAAGAGATCGAGACCATCCTGGTCAACATGGTGAAACCCCGTCTCTACTAAAAATACAAAAAATGAGCTGGGCATGGTGGCGCGTGCCTGTAATCCCAGCTACTCAGGAGGCTGAGGCAGGAGAATTGCCTGAACCCAGGAGGCGGAGGTTGCGGTGAGCTGAGGTCACGCCATTGCACTCCAGCCTGGGTAACAAGAGCGAAACTACATCTCAAAAAAAAAAAAAAATCAAGGAGAAGGCTAAACTGTAACCAATATAGTAAGTGCCAGCTGATAGATAAAAAGAAGAAATTAGATGCATAGATGTATTAGTCATTTTCCTACTGCTATTAAGAAATACCAGAGACTGGATAATTTATAAAGAAAAAGAGGTTTAATGGGCTCATAGCTCCATGTGGCTGGGAGGCTTCACATTATGATGGAAGGTGAAGAAGGAACAAATGCACATCTTACATGGTGGCAGACAAGAGCGTGTGTGCAGGGGAACTGCCCTTTTAAAATAATAACTATCAGATCTTGCAAGACTTACTCACTATCACGAGAAGAGCACAGGAGAAACCTGCCCTCATGATCAGTTAGCTACCAATGGGTCCCTCCCACATATGGGTATTATTAGAACTACAATTCAAGGTGAAATTTGTATGGGGACACAGCCAAACCATATCATTCTGTCCCTGGCTACTTTCAAATTTCATGTCCTCACATTTCAAAACCAAGTATGCCTTCCCAACAGTCCCCCAAAGTCTTAACTCATTTCAGCGTTAACTCTAAAGTCTAGAGTCCAAAGTCTCCTCTGAAATAGGGCAGGTCCCTTCTGTATATGGGCCTCTGAAATCAAAAGCAAGTTAGTTACTTCCTGGATACAATAGGGATACAGGCATTGGGTGAATACATTTCTTCTAAATGGGAGGAATTGGCCAAAGCAAAGGGGCTACAGGATCCATGAAAGTCTGAAATCTAATAGGGCAGTAATTAAACCTTAAAGCTTCCCTTTGACTCCATGTCTCACATCCAGGTCATGCTGGTGCAAAAGGTGGGCTCTCATGGCCTTGGGCTCTGCCCCTGTGGCTTTGCAGGGTACAGCCCTCTCCCCCCGGCTGCTTTCTTGGGCTGACATTGATTGTCTGCAGCTTTTCCAGGCACACAGTACAAGCTGTCAGTGGATCTACCATTCTGGTATCTGGAGGTTGGTGGCCGTCTTCTCAGAGCTCCACTAGGCAGTGCCCCAATGGGGGCCTCTGTTTGGGGACTCCAGTCCCACATTTTTCTTCTCCTGTGCCCTAGTAGAGGTTCTCCATGAGGGCCCCACCCCTGCAGCAAACTTTTTCCTGGACATCCAGATGTTTCCATACCTCTTCTGATATCTAGGCAGAGGTTCCCAAACCTCAACTCTTGACTTCTGTGCACCTGCAGGCTCAACACCATGTGGGAGCTGCCAAGGCTTGGGGCTTGCACCTCTGAAACCATGGCCAAGCTTGTACATTGGTCCCTTTTAGGCACATCTGGAGCAGCTAGGATGCTGGGCTCCAAGTCCCTAGGCCGTACACAGCAGGGGACCCTGGACCTGGCCCAAAAAATCATTTTTCCTTCCTAGGCCTTGGCACCTGTGATGGGAGGGGCTGCCATGAAGCTCTGATATGCCCTGGAGATATTTTTCTCATTTTTTTGGTTATTAACATTCTACTCCTTGTTATTTATGCACATTTCTGTATCAGGCTTGAATTTTTCTCCAGAAAATAGCTTTTTCTTTTATATTACATCAGGCTGAAAATGTTCCAAACTTGTGTATTCTGCTTCCTCTTGAGTGTTTTGCTTCCCAGAAACTTCTTCCACCAGATAACCTAAATCATCTCTCAAGTTCAAAGCCACAGATATCAATGGCAAGAGCAAAACGCTGCTAGTCTCTTTGCTAAAGCATAACAAGAGTCACCTTTGCTCCCGTTCCCAAGAAATTCTTTATTTCCATCTAAGACCACCTTAGCCTGGACTTTGTTAGCATATCACTACTGGCATTTTGGTCAAAGTCATTCAACAAGTTTCCAGGAAGTTCCAAACTTCCCCATATCTTCTTGTCTTCTAAGCCCTCCAGGTCTCTAGGAACTTCCAAACTTTCCCACATTTTTCTGTCTTCTTCTGAGTCCTCCAAACTGTTTCAACCTCTGCTTGTTAACCAGTTCCAAAGTCACTTCTACATTTCTGGTTATCTTTATAGCAATACCCTACTCTACCAGTACCAATTTACCGTATTTTTTAAGTCAATTTTCATACTGCTATGAAGAAATACCTCTGACTGGGCAATTTATAAAGAAAAAGAGGTTTAATGGGCTCACAGTTTTACATGGCTTGGGAGGCTTCACAATCATAGTGAATGGTAAAATAGGATCAGAGGAATGTCTTACATGATGGCAGGCAAGAGTGTGTGTGCAGGGGAACTGCTCTTTGTAAAACCATCACATCTCATGAGACTTATTCACTGTCATGAGAGAACAGCATGGGAAATACCTGCCTCCATGATTCAATTACCTCCCACTGAGTACCTCCCACAACACATGGGGATTATGGGAGCTACAATTCAAGATGAGATTTAGGTGGGGACACTGCCAAACTATATCAATAGATATTTGAAATGACTAAGTAAAATCATTGTTATTAGAAGATAAGATATGCCTGGAAAACTCAAGAGAATGAAGTGAGAAATTACTAAAAACAATAGGAATAAAAGGAAGTAATGCTGTAAGGTTACTATGCAAAAATTACTATGCTTCCTATACTCAACAGACAGGCTCTTGAGACAACAATGAGGAAAGGACCTTCTGTAGAAGAACAATACAAAATATGAAATATTTATGAATAAACTTTATAATAAAGATACAAGACTTCCACAGAGAAAAAAGAATACTGCTGAAAGATGCAAATGAACTGTTTTTCAAATGGAAATATATCTCATGTTTTTGTAGAGGTAGACTCAACCTAATAAAAATTTTAAGATTGTCAAGTTGTTTATAAATGTGATTCTTAATTTTTAAAAATTAGACAAGTGGATTCAAAAGTTTATATGGAAAAATTTATATACATGAATAACTAGAAAAAGATTGAAAAAGCTTAATAAAATTGGATTACCCCATCAGATATTAAAATATAAAGTCTCAATATTGAAAATACTGGTTCTAACTCAGGATAATCAGAACCACGGCACAGAAGAGAAAGTTCAGTAATAGTCTCAAATTCAGAAGGGAATTTAGTATATGATAAAGGCATTATTTCAATTCTGTTGGGGGTGAGGGGAGAATCAAAATATAGGACAACTGCATAGCCATGTTAAAAAAAAACAAAGGAAAATTTGATTCAATGTGTTACTCCACACAACAGAATAAATTCCACATGCATAAAATATTTTAAAAATTTTAATTAAAAGTATAAGTTGTAGAAGTAAACATGGGAAAAATTTATTTTTTCCTTGGTATGAGGTTGGGCCTGGCTAATGCAGATCCAGAGATCATAAAAGATCAGTAAACTGTAATTAAAAAATAATTATGCATATTACAAGATGACACATAGACAATGTCAAAAGACAGATTGTTGGTGGGAGGGAGGGAATAGTTTCCTATAAAAAAATACTAGAAATTTTTGCATAAAAGACCAATAACTTAACAAGTTGACCAGGAATATAAACAGTCCTCAGAAAAAGCAATACATTAAATGGTTAACAATATAAAAAGGTACTCACTCTCAATCATTATAAGAGAAAATCCAATTAAATCCACAGAGTGAGGACTATTTTTCATATTTCTAATTAGTTCAAACCCCAAATAATAAATAATACACTATGTGGAGGATCTGTGGGAAAACAAGGAAATACACTGTCTTAGTCTCTTTTCTGCTGCTATAATAGAAGACCACAAACAGGGTAATTTATAAAGAAAAGAAATGTGTTTCTCACAGTTCTGGAGGCTGGGAAGTTCAGGACCATAGAGCTGGCATCTGGTGAGGGCCTTCTTGCTATATAATCTCATGAGAGCAGGCATGCATGTGAGACAGAGAAAATGGGAGCCAAACTTACTCTTTTATCAGGAGCCCATTGGGATAATGGCATTAATCCATCATGAGGTGGAGCCATAATGACTTAATCACCTTTCACAGGTCCCACCTCATACTACTGTTAAAATAACAATTACATTTTAACATGAGTTTTGGAGGGAACATTCAACCACAGCAACAGTGTTAGTGGGAGAATAAATAGATGTAACACCTATAGAAGCCACTTTAGCAGGTCTTTGGCAATGAGGATTGCATTAAGAAATTGAATATAAGATTGCAGTGCAGTTGCATAAAGTTTCTCTTTAAAATTATAAATTTGGGAAGGATGAGGACTCCTGATATGAGAACATTTAAAATGATATGGCATTTTCTAATGTTTTATTTCAATATACTAAAAAGATACTGTTTCTTGATTTACTTATAGCCAGAACCACCAAAGAAACCATCTAATTGGAGAAGAAAACATGAAGAATTCATTGCCACCATAAGAGCAGCTAAAGGCCTTGATCAGGCCCTCAAAGAGGGTGGCAAACTTCCTCCTCCTCCTCCACCTTCTTATGATCCTGGTATATGGAATATTGTTGACAGAAATGTTCATGTGGAAAGAAAATAATGATAGAGTTTTTATAAATTTTAACTTTTTAAGCTTAACTTATAATCATGGAGTCTTATAAAGTATAATTTTTAAACGTTTTGGTATAAAACAGTGGTGGTAATCTAGGCATGTAGGCTTATAAGGACATTAATTTGGAACATAGAAGTGTATTGTGTTTTTATTTTAATACTTTTTTTAAACACAAGGCATTATAATATTTAAAACAAATTATAGTAACTACTAAATGTGAGCACCAGGAAATATTTTAGCCATGCTCACTGCAGATTGAAATGTAGTTATTGAATAGGAGTCATATAATTATGTTGCCTGGTTCCTTGATATCTTCTCATGTGGGATTGGTGAAAACTTGTAATTTTTCTAAAATGTATAATTCATGTAGCTAGACTACATTTATGCCTGAAATTTGTATGTTGTTAAATTTTTTTTCATTTAGGAAATAAAAGTTGCTTGTTACCAAAAGCAAAGCAAGATTTTTGCAACCCTGTATGAGATACTGAGATACATAAAGACTTAAGGGGACAAAGTTGACACTTTTGACATTTGTTACTAGAGCATCCTAAAGAGGTTGTTAATTTAACAGGTTAACCACGTTAATATTATGTTAGTACTCTAGATTGGGATTTATTTTCTAGCAAAGAGAAAGTTCTTTAGCAAATCTAGATATAATCATTTTTGGCATTTTATTATAGAAGAGAGATTAGCAAACTTTCTATAAAGGACTGGATAGTAAGTATCTTAGGTTTTGTATGCCATAAGATTTCTGTTGCAACAAATAAGCCATAGACAATATATAAATGAATGAGCATGGCTGTGTTTCCATAAAACTTCATTTACAAAGACAGTCAACAGGCAGGCTGGATTTGCCTCATGGGTCATACTTTTCGAAAACCTGTTCTAGAGTTTTAGTAATTAACTTATATGAATGAATGTTTCTGGGATGCTTGAACTGATCCTGGGTCTTTTTTAATACTACCTTTATTTTCTTTATGAACTTGAGGTTTCTCTCTGCTTTGGAGGTATTTAGATATTGTGTTGTACTCTATATTGGAGGTATTTAGATATTGTGTTGTACTCTATATAGCTGCATTTCTCATGTCTAATATTTCTCATTTCTCATGTCAGAGAGTGAGAGGGTACTAGTTCTTCAGGATCAATTGGGCTGTAGAAGTTTTTTTTTAATCTTGTGGGCCTGACAAAAACAACTTATTTCATTGTTATTAGAGGTTTTCGACCTACACCAGTAGTAAGCATGACAAATTTCTGAGCTGCAGATGAATGTAAATTCCAAAGGACAAACTCTCTGTCAAAAAGTAAACCAGTTAAAATAAATTAAGATTATTTTTTGACACTACTAATTTTTTACATTTATTCCCAGGGTCTCATTTAGTTATTTTACAATGCTACAATATTTGGTTCTGGGTTAATTTAGAAAGAAGTTTAATTTACAGTATGCTTTGCATTTTAGGAAGATATTTTATCTTGGAAACATTTGCTGTTTCTTAAATTTGAATTATGTCAGTTAGATATATTTTAATCACTTCTTCCATCTGTTGGAACTTTTAAGAGAAAATGCCACTTTAAAGATGAGTAACTATTTCTTGAGAGTTTTCCATTAGATGAAATGAAAAAATTTAATAGACGAGCTCATATTTTAAAATATATTTTTTTATTTTATTTTATTTTATTTATTTTTGAGATGGAGTTTCGCTGTTGTTACCCAGGCTGGAGTGCAATGGCATGATCTCAGCTCACCGCAACCTCCGCCTCATGGGTTCAGGCAACTCTCCTGCCTCAGCCTCCTGAGTAGCTGGGATTACAGGCACGTGCTACCATGCCCAGCTAATTTTTTGTATTTTTAATAGAGATGGGGTTTCACCATGTTGACCAGGATGGTCTCGATCTCTTGACCTCGTGATCCATCCACCTTGGCCTCCCAAAGTGCTGGGATTACAGGCGTGAGCCACCGCGCCCGGCCTTAAAATGTATTTTAATGTCATGTGTTATTTCTTTCTAACTAGTCGGCTACATAAAATACACAAATATGTTATAAATGAAAACATAGAGACAAAAAATAAATAACATTTTTTCTGTTATTCTTTTGTACTAAGGATTTATCTTTTGTTCTTTTTCTTTCACAAATTTGATTCAAAGCTAGGAAAAAATTAGGATTCATCGTGTACTAGCAGACTTTTTTTTTTTTGTCTTTACTAAGTTTAGACAAGTCAAGCTGGGTAGTTATAAGGATATGGGAGTTTTTGCTTATCAGATATTATTGCTTATATTTCTTGAATGACTGTATAGAAACTTAGGATTTTTAATGTCTGTTTCAAGTACTATGCTATTAATCTGTTTCTGTTTTTATCTGTTATAGATTATATTCAGTGTCCATATTGTCAGAGGAGATTTAATGAAAATGCAGCTGATAGACATATAAATTTCTGTAAAGAACAGGCAGCACGTATTAGTAATAAAGGCAAATATTCTACAGATACCAAAGGAAAACCAACGTCTCGGACACAGGTGATAAGCTCATTTTAATAATTGCTATGAATGAGAAATTGGCTCATTGATATTTATAGATTTTTATTTATGCTTTTCATGACATTAGACTTTTTCTCGCCTGCTATATATATATAAATAAAAACGTTTTTAGATTATTTTATATATATATAAAACGTTTTTAGATTATTTTATATATATATAAAACGTTTTTAGATTATATTCTTGGTCTTTTCTCAGATATATATTAAGAATATTTTCTCCCATTCTGTGACTTGGCTTTTCATTTTCTTAAGGGTGTCTTTTGAAAAGCAAAAGTTTTAAAATTTGATTAAGTCCAATTTATTAATTCTTTATGATTTATGTTCTCTATGTTGTATCAAAGAAATCTTTGCCTATACCAGGATTGCAAAGATTTTTCTCCCATGTCCTCTAGAAGTCTTAGGCTTTTAGCTCTTATGTCTGTAAATCATTTCAGGATATTATTTGTTTATATGTGATGTAAGGGGCAGTTTTCCTTTTGTTGTCTATGTGGATATTCTATTCTTTTAGTGTGATTTATTTAAAGGACTTTTCTTTCCCCCCAGTGAATTGCCTAGGCATCTTGGATGAAAATCAGTTGAGTATAAATGTGGATTTATTTCAGGACATGGTATTCTGTTCCATTAATTTATATCCCTCTCCTTTAGTCAATACCACATTATCAGTATACTGAATAGTGTACCTTAGTCTTAAAATCAAGTTGTCTAAATTTTTCTACTTGAATTCCTTTTAAAATTTGCTTTGGCTATTCTTGATTTACATTTACATATACATTTTATAATTGACTTGTCATCTACAAAAAATGACTTCTAGTATTTGACTGAGATATTTATTTATTTATGAGACAGAGTGAGAGTCTTCTCACTCTGTTGCCTGGATTTGTGTGATCTCGGCCTGCTGCAACCTCCACCTCCGAGGTTCAAGTGATTCTTCTGCATCAGCCTCCCGAGTAGCTGGGATTACAGGCACGTGCCACCATGTGCAGCTAAGTTTTTGTATTTTTATTAGAGGCAGGGTTTCACCATTTTGGCCAGGCTGGTCTTGAACTTCTGACCTTGTGATTCACCCTTCTCGGCCTCCCAAAGTGCTGGGATTATAGGTGTGAGCCACTAAGAGTGGCCTTTGACTAAGATTATATTAAATTCATAAATCAATTTGGGGAGAATTGACATTGTAACAATATTGAATTGTTCATGAACTTGTTATATTTTCTGATCATTTAGGTTTTCTTTATCAGTGCTTGTAGTTTACATTATATAGGTCGTACACATATTTTGTTAGATTTTTCTAAGTATATCATGTATTTGGATGATCTTGTAAATGGAATTTTATTTTATTTCATTTTTAGTTGTTTTTTGCTTATTTAGAAAAACTGAGGATTTTTGTATGTTAATCTCTTACCTTGCTATTTTGCTAAATTCATTTACTAATAATAGCCTTCTTATAGATTACTTATGACTTTTCTATGTATACCATCATATTAACTGTAAATAAGGACAGTTTTATTTTCTTCCCTCCAACATTTTTGGCTTTTATTTCTTTTTTGTGATTTACTACACAGGCTAGACTAATGTTGAATAGAGGTGATGAGAGTGGACTTCCTTGCCTTGTTTTTCTGTTCTTAGGTGAAAAGCATTGTTTTTTACCATGTGTATTATGTTCCATCAATTACTAAGGGAAATATGTTAAAATTATGACTTTTTTAGATTTCTCTTTAGTTTTGCCAGCTTTTGATTCAAACATTTGAATTTCTCTTACCATTTGCATATGTGTTTATGAGTTGTTATGTCTTCCCCATTTATTGACCCTTTTATCATTATGAAGTGTTCTTTTTTGCCTGTGGCAATATTCTTCATGTTGCAATTTCATGTGATAAAATATAGCATAATTATGCTCCCTTCTTTTAGCATAATTATGCTCCCTTCTTTTCTTTTAGCATAATTATGCTCCCTTTTCTTTCTGTTCTTTAACTTATATTTGTTTTTGCAATTCTATAATTGATTCTTGTATTTCTTTTTTTTAAATTGAATCTGGTAACTTAATCTTGTCAGTTGAAATGCTTGTCAGTTACATTTGATACAATTATTATTGATTTGGTTGTGCTTAGGTTTGTAATCTGTTTTTTCTTTTGGTAAAAAATTCATTGCTGCTCATTTCTCAGTAGTGCTTGTGGCTTTGTGGTTCGGTCCTTGGACCTGGCAGTTGCCAGTGGTGCTGAGCTACTAGGAAGCCCTATTGGTCAGCTCATTGGAGCTTGAACTCATTGTCACCCCTCCAACTCACTGGCAAAAAAAAAAAAAAAAAAAAAAAAGAGATTGAAGCAGATCACCCAGGAAAGCACTTTATTGGTGGGCTTAATATGGAAACAAATGAGAAAGCTCTTGAAGCAGTATTTGGCTAATATAAACGAACAGTGGAAGTACTCTTGATGAAAGACCGTAAAACCAACAAATGAAGAGGATTTGCTTTTGTCACTTTTGAAAACCCAGAAGACGCTAAGGATGCAGCCAGAGACATGAATGTAAAGTCATTAGATGGAAAATCCATCAAGATGGAACAAACCACCAAACCATCATTTGAAAGTGTGAAAGTGGTAGAAGTGGATTGCCTCCACCTCCTAGAAGTAGAGGTCCTCCAAGAGGTCTTAGAAGTGGAAGTGGAGGAACCACAGGATCTCCGTCATGGAGGAGGACACATGGATCGCAGTGGCAAATCCATGAATTTTAATAAGAGTTCTTCCAGGGGACCACTCCCAGTAAAAAGAGGACCACCACCAAGAAGTAGAGGTCCTTCTCCTAAGAGATCTATACCTTCAGGACCAGTTCACAGCAGTGGTGGAATGGGAGGAAAAGCTCCTGTATCATGTGGAAGAGATAGTTACAGAGGTCCACCTTGAAGGGAACCACTGCCGTCTCATAGAGATGTTTATTTGTCCCCAAGAGATGATGGGTTTTCTACCATAGAAAGCTATTCAAGCAGAGATTACTCAAGTCCTCCTGATACAACAGATTATGTAACACCACCACGAGATTATACTTACTGTGATTATGGTCATTCCAGTTTATGTGGTAACTATCCATCGAGAGCCTATAGAGATACAGATGGATATGGTCATGATCATGACTATTCAGATCATCCAAGTGGAGGTTCCTAGAGAGATTCACATGAGAGTTATGGTAATTCATGGAGTGCTCCACCTATAGGAAGACCCACCTCATCTTATGGTGGAAGCAGTTACTTTGATGATTTCAGTAGCTCACGTGAACATATGGTGGAAGTAAAGACAGTTAAGCAGCTGAAGTGATCTCTACTCAAATGGTCATGGTTGGGTTGGCACACAAGAAAAAGAGGACTTCCCTCTTCTATGTAAAAGGGGGTACCCTCCTCCCCATGATTCCTGCAGTAGTTCAAGCCATGGAGCACCAAGAGGTTTTGGCCCTGGAGGAAACCAATCTGGTAGAGGGGGAGGCAAAAACAGATACTAGAAACAAACAAAACTTTGGACCAAAATCCCAGTTCAAAGAAACAAAAAGTTTAAATTATTCTGTCATAACTACCCAAGGACTACTAAAAGGAAAAATTGTGTTACCTTTTTTTTTTTTGACACAGAGTCTCGCTCTGTCACCCAGGCTGAAATGCACAATCTCAGCTTACTGCAACCTCGACCTTATGGTTTCAAGCTATTCTCCTGCCTCAGCCACCCAAGTAACTGGGATTACAGGTGCCCGTCACCACGCCTGGCTAATGTTTTTGTGTTTTTGTTAGAGACGGGGTTTCATCATCTTGCCCAGGCTGGTATTGAACTCCTGACTTCGTGATCCACCTGCCTCGTGATCAAAGTGCTAGGATTACAAGTGTGAGCCACTGCGCCCGGCCTGTGTTACCTTTTAAAATAAGTTCCCTTCCATAATTTTTATGTTCTTGTGAGGAGAAAAGTAAAACATGTTTAATTTTATTTGGCTTTATGACATTACTTTTCAACAAGCAAATGTTAAATGTGTTGAGACTTGTTGTACTAGTGTTGTAACTTTCCAAGTTAAAGTGTCCCTGAAGGCCACTTCCTATCTGATTTTTCCCAGTAAATGAGGCAAGCAATTCCAAGATCTTCCACAAAACATCTAGCCATCTAAAATAGAGAGATGAATTGTTCTGCCTATACAAACAAACTAGCTATTAGATAGGGGTTGGGGTATGCTACTCATAAAATTTCAGGGTATCTTCCAGCTGAAATCTCAGTGTTCTCATTGTCAAATATGTTCTCATTATCAATCAGATGCCTATGTAAGGAAAGTGCTATTCACCCAGTAAACTCAAAAAAAGCAAATGGATAATGCTGGCCATTTTGCCTTTCTGACACTTTCTTGGGAGTCAGCAAGAAAAAAATCCCCTTTCCCCTCCCCCAATAAGACCATTTAAGTATGTGTTAACTACAGAATACTAAATAAAAAGTTTGGCCAAAAACAAGCATGAAGCTGCAAAGGTGCTTGCTATTACTGTTTCAAATTTTTGCAGCTCAGTGGTGTCTCACTTTCAAAGGAACAGCTTGATTGCAAGGAAGAAAATAGGTAAGCAATGAAGTTATCTCCAACTTCCTAAAGGCTTATGACATATTAAAAGTGAATCTGTCAGCATTCATCAGATTTAAAGCATCAAATGCCTGTGAAACAGCAAAGATGGTAAGCAAAGCAAACTAGTTTTTCCATCTAAATCAAAATTGAACACTTCTTTCCTCATAGTACAGTGAAACATACTGTACCTCATAGCAATGGAAACGCCTTCTAGATTAAAAAAAAAAAACTACTTTTGGAAAAAACAGATATTCAACAGCATATTAGAAGTCCTCCAAATTCAACACTTGGATTTTTTTTTAAGCATATGCGACACCTAAAGGCTTTAATAATAGAGCTGTTATTTACCAGTAGAGATCTGGGGCTTGGGAGAGAGTATTTTTTCAAAGTCTATTTTTGATGAAGACCTTTAAATAATCTTCATATGTTTTAACATTTTTTTTCAAATCAGTCCTTTAGTCAGTATAGGAAATGGCTTAAGTTTGTGTTCCCTCTTTTTCCTCTGTAAACCATTGCAAAGTTGACATTTAATTGGATGCCTGACTTATTTTTAGTCTATGAAACTACACTATATGGAGAAAATCTTTTGCAAGTGGTCTTTAAAAAGCAAAACCTGAGGCAGCATGACCCAGGTCCAGCCATGAAGTTGAAAAAGATGCTCTTGAATATAGTAAATCTGAAGACCTCCAACTAAAAAATCTTTATATTGCACTTATACTTTCAAATAAGTTTTGTTGGTTCAACTTACGGATTTAATGTGGCAGTGCACTATTGGAACAGAATGATAATCTGTAAGCCATGCAACTTAACCATTTAAGCCATTCCACTTCATCCCAGGCCAGTGAATCTTCCACAACTTAAGAGAAGTAGTAGAACATAAAATATATTAACTGCAAGTCTAAACTTGCTTTTTCTTTCTGGAAAAGAGGGCAGTAATAAGCAAGTTTTAAAGAATTTCCTTAAGAGAGATGACTAGTCTTCATTTATTTAACTTTTGCAGGTTGAGAATTATGCTCATTATGGTGGTGAAGCACTGATTTGTTCAGTTTTAGAGAAATGTAATGCCTAAGTATGTGTAAGCCATTAAGTTGTTAATTTCTATTATGTATATAAAAATCTTTAGTCTTCAGTATGTAATGCTACCAGGAACCCTTCTGCCTGTGTCCTGCCTAAAGACTTGACCTCTCAATGTGTAATAGGCCACATCAGCATACTTTGTTTATGCTAATCATTTTGCTCCTTTTTGATTGCTTTCACAATTTTAGTGGATCAGCAGTCCTGTTTCCTGATCTAATTTTATTAATTCTGTTTTTGTATACATACCTCTGATAGTTTGACAAATCTTTGTTAGATCTTATTTTCCCTGTTGCTATAATTTTAAGAGTCTTTTCAAATGTCTTTATTTATTTATTTTTAGTGGCCCAGATGTCCTTTTACACCAGAAGCATCTCTAATGTTTTAAAAGATCAGTATCATTATATGGTTCATCTCCTGAAGACTCATAGACATTTGTTAATTTGAAAGACATTTACTAAAGGTTTTGATTTTCTATTTTGCAGGTGCTGGTATAGTTGTGCAAAATATGCATGCTACTTTTTTTGTGTGTGACCCTTTGTCATGATTTAATTTTTTTTAAATTCATATACTGAGTTAGTTATAATGTTTGATTTCAAAATTGGTTTTAGTCTGCTGTTTTTGGTAGTAGTGCATCTTAAATTTTATATTGATTATTGGTTATAAAATATGATTTGCATTTTGAAAAATATTTAAAATTAATTTTTCAAGTGAAATCTTGATACCTTATTGGGCTAAATTTCAAGCACATTTGCAATTATGATTTTCACCTTATGATTGAAGCACTGGGCTAGAACCAGCATGATTGTTAAATTCCTGCTCTGTTGTGAAATTCGGGCATAACTCTGGGCAAGTTCATTTCGTTCTGTTGAAGCAGGTGATCAATAAGATAATTTTATACAGGGAACTGAGCAAAATTTAACTCAAAAAGAGAAAATAAAATTAATAGTGATGTCTCTTTAGAGGAGTAGAGAAATTTAAAAAGCCAGGATAAGCTGAAATATCCAATCTTATGTCAATCCATACTCCATTAATTTAAGATGGTCTGGTGAGAACAGAGAGGCCACAGTTAGCTCTTTCTCTTCATGTCGGGCAAATCCATAAGGCAGCTTTTATAAAACTCGTCCAGGTAGAAGTTAATATTATGAATTTTTATCAATAGGAAATATGGCTGAATTATATATATGGAATATAAAACCACATCCAGGAACATGTAAAAATCTTGACCTTTAAAGCTGCACCACCAAGTGAGCTTCACTAGTGTTTCTAAGGTTTTCTACTAATGTTTATTTGGTGTTTAAAATCTTAACTTGAGGAAGTATTTTCCATTAGATGTTTTTTTCTATTCCCTGTGAACTGGAAAATTTGCTCTTAGTTTGTTTTAGCAGTAGAACATCTGAGAATCTTATTTTGGAAAACCTTTGAGGTGACATATTTTAATCTCTACTTCCTCAATTTGTGTAATGCAGTAGCTAATAAAAAGGCTGTTCATTTAAGGGAATGAGAGCTGTTTCCTTCCAATTTTTTTTTTTACTGTGGTATATAATACATGTAACATAAACTTTACCATCTTGCCATTTTTAAGTGTACATTTCAGTATATACTTACAAGTGTATTAATACATTAATGATGTACAACCGTCATCACCATTCATCTCCATAATTCTTTTCATCTTGTAAGACCGAAATTCTAAACCCAAAGAATCTTAACTTTTGAACCACTACTTTACAATTCATAATCAAAAAGTGATGTTGACTGAAAAATTTTTTTTTCATTATTTTAGTATAAGCCACCTGCACTTAAAAAGTCAAATTCTCCTGGAACTGCATCATCAGGATCTTCACGATTACCGCAGCCAAGTGGCACTAGCAAAACTGTTGTAGGTAATGACAGCCATAAAGTAAATCGATTTGTTTTTAAACCATGTTGGCAGAGAAGGAAATAAAGATAGTGGTCTATTCTGGAGTATTAGGATAGATTTCTATTAAGAAGAGATATAGAGGATAAGCAATTATTTCTAAAAATAAAATAACTTTCATCAGTTTCTACTTTTAACTTTTTTTTTTTGAGACAGAGTCGCGCTTAGTTTCCCAGGCTGGAGTGCAGTAGCATGATCTCAGTTCTTTGCAGCCTCCTCCTCCCAGGTTCAGTGATTCTTGTGCCTCAGCCTCCCAAGTAGCTGGGACTCTAGGCACATGCCACCACTCCCAGCTAATTTTTTGTATTTTAGTAGAGATGGGATTTCACTGTGTGAGCCAGGATGGTCTAGATTTCCTGACCCTGTGATCTGCCCACCTCAGCCTCCCAAAGTGCTGGTATTACTGGATGAGCCACTGTGCCTGGCCACGTTTTTGTTGTTTTTAGCTTAAATGTTTGTCCCTGATGTTGTTATTGATGTATCGTCTATTCAGAATAGTCAGACAAGTTCTTTCTTGATTCTTTGATCCGGTATTTTCCTCTCATTTTATGCTAGCTCTTCATAGCTTTCTGAACTTCTCAATTGTTCTCAGTAGACAAGTACTTAATAGTTAGAAGAAGATATTGACCACTGACATGTACCTTTGTTTATATATAAATTATAAGAAAGAAATTTAGAAATGAGGGATGTTATATGTAATTTCCTGGAAATATCAGTTTAAAAATGTCTTTAATGGTGATTTATAGTTACAAAGATTATTACTAAAGCATCATTTTCTTTGCTAAATACTCTGTTTTATGTAACTTTTTTTAGAGTATTGTTAAAAATAATGTTTTTTTTAATTACAAGGTATGCCTTCAGGTAAAGTGTCTTCAAATACCAGCTCTTTGGGAAACAAACTTCAAACCTTATCTCCCTCTCACAAAGGGATAGCAGCCCCTCATGCAGGGTAAGTCTACATTGGATATAATTTATTACTGGTGTATAGTTAAATGATAGTAAGGTTTTATTATGCTTTGATAATTGGCTTTTCATTAATCTTCATTTTCTAAGTTCATTTGTCTTTTAACGCTGGTCAGGAGCACACTCACTGCTGTTGAGTATCTAAATTTGCATAATGATTTTAGGACATAATCTGGAATTTATTAAAAGCCTTAGAAATCATAGTTTAAATTGAATAATTTTACTTCTGGGAATTTAGTTTAAGGAAGTTTGAAATGTTGAGGATTTTTATACTAACTGTAATTTACTAACCACCATGTGTCAGGTACTGTGCTAGACATTTTGCATATATTTTTGTTAAAACCACTTCATAATCATAGAATAAGAAGATCAGAGAAGCTATTTACTCAAAGCCACATAGCTGTTAAAAGTTAGAAGCAAGTGGCCAGGCACGGTGGCTCAAGCCTGTAATCCCAGCACTTTGGGAGGCCGAGGCGGGTGGATCACGAGATCAACAGATTGATACCATCCTGGTTAACATGGTGAAACCCCGTCTCTACTAAAAATACTAAAAATTAGCTGGGCATGGTGGCATGTGCCTGTAATCCCAGCTACTCAGGAGGCTGAGGCAGGAGAATTGCCTGAACCCAGGAGGCGGAGGTTGCAGTGAGCCGAGATCGCGCCATTGCACTCCAGCCTGGGTAACAAGAGCGAAACTCCATCTCAAAAAAAAAAAAAAAAGTTAGAAGCAAGTTTGATTGTAAACATTAGACTCCTTATACATTTTTTTATAAAAACATTAAAAATAAATGAAATTTCCACATGTGCCTAAGTAGCTGCTCTGCCAAGACTCCCCATTTCTGTGTGTCAGATTGAAGGCCCCAGTGGAGTGGGTTTACTAGGGCATCTCCTGACCCAAGGGTTGCAAGTCACATGTACACTCACAGCTTCCCTGGGCCAGGAAGGTTCCCTTGGCTCTGTGTTGCTCCCAGGTGGGCTGTTGGCTTGCCTTTCTTTTCTTCATTTTTTGTAGATCAAGTTGTTTCCTTGATTAGTCCCAATGCAAGTAAATGGATGTTTCAGTTGAAGGTGCTGTATTTACTTGCCTCTTTTCATGTTATTTTCAAGTTTAAGTTATCTGTGGCTCAAATTCATTCTGGTTTTTATGTAGGAAGTATATACAAAGATATCTGTCAAATGATGGTAACTACTTTTCTTCTAAATTCAGATTACATAGAAAATGGAAGACCTAAAAGGAATGTAATGTAATTATCATTATAGAAAGGAAAAAAAATCAACCAGCAATATCTTATGAGTTAAGTGATTTTTCTTATTGCTGTGCTTCCAAAAAGAAAGGCTATCTATAAGAAAGAGACAGGTTATCAGTAGATCAGGTAGCTGAACAGTAAAAAATTCTCATCTTTTAGTGGTAAGAAACTGATTTGATTTATTCTCTACTCCAATGAATTGACTCATTGGATGGTTAAGTGAAATGTAGACATAGCAATATGTGCTTTAATTTTACAAAATCATTTTACCGTATCACAGAGAACTGCCCACCATGTCAGGTAATAATGTTTGTTCATAGTGTTGTTTATAGTTTCATTTACAGTTGATCATGGATTAAAAGCTGATGTTTTCCAGTACTACTTTATACTGGCAGTTTTATCAGTTGGCAATATTAAATTGTACTGACACAGTGTTCCTAGATAGGACATGTAAAACTGGCTGATATAATGAAGAGAGGCACTGACCTTGGAGTTAGGAGACTAAGTTTCTGCATCATATTCTGCCGCTAAATAACTTTGGGCATATATCTCTCTGTCTGACTCTGATAATATCTGTGACTCTGCTTAGACCTTGCAACTGATCCAAGAAAATCTGACCAACATACCTGGTTACTAATGGAAAATATACTTTTGCTAACAAGCAGAGATTTTGAGTACATAATTTTGTGAGTTGTGCATTGCTTATAATGCCATGAAGAATACATACTTTTGGTTGTCCCACATCATATATAACTGTCAATTATATCTGTTCAAATTATATCTGATTGTCCATTCTGTATAAGATACTTATAGATTAAAGAAAGGTTTCCAACTACTGGAAAGAGAGTGGTGGAGCTCATTTCTACCAATATATTACTATATTAACTAGAACATTACAATGTTACTATATTAAATTAGAACCATTCAATGGTACTATATTAAATTAGCTGTCTGTTTAGTGGCCGAGTTCCTTTTTCTTTCTTTTTTTTTTTTTTTTAAGAATTATCGAGTAATGATTTGTTTCTCTTGCTAGATTGTAAGCTCCATGATGACACATACTATGTCTGCCTTGCTTCCACTTGTAACTGTAAAATCTAGCAGAATGCTTAGGCTAAAAGAAAATTTTTGGTGAATAAATGAAAAAAGATAATTAATAAATTAATTCCCTCATTGTTACTCTATTGGCACATCATGGAATTATTGTCCTGTTACAAGTTAAAGAATTATTTGAAGTTTGTATAACAACTTTTTATTTTGATTTATACGAATGATTCAGGATTGGGTAAAGGTTGAATTAAAACATTTGATCAGGTGTAATGCTGAATAAATTGAGCATTTGCTGAGATTAGTAAATGCTAATACTTCCGTGGATTGCAATGGTTTAAAGTCTGGTGTATGTAATCTTTATTGTGGTCCACTTTAATCAGGTATACCAACAATCTGTAATAGAATCATGCCACAAAGAAATTTATTTTCACACTTGGAAAAATTCTTATATGTTTGATTGTTTACTTCTAGTTTGTGTATTAGGCCAGGCACAGTGGCTCACACCTGTACTACCAAAACTTTCAGAGGGCAGGGTGGGAGAGTCACTTGAGCCCAGGAGTTTGAGACCTGCCTGGGCAACATAGCAGGACCTCACTCATCTCCATTAAAGATAAAATAAAATCCCAAGGTCAGGAGTTTGAGACAAGCCTGACCAACATGGTGAGACCTCATCTCTACTAAAAGTACAAAAATTAGCTGGGGGTGGTGGTGGGAGCTTGTAATCCCAGCTACTCAGGAGTCCGAGGCAGGAAAATTGCTTGAACCTGGGAAGTGGAGGTTGCAGTGAGCCGAGATCGCACCATTGTACTCCAGCCTGGGCAAGAGAGGGAGATTTCCTCTCAAAAACAAACACCGTTTTAAACCGTTTTTAAAATATAAAAAAGCAACGAAATTAATAAATTTGTAGGTCAATTTTAACAGATTTACTTAAAAAAATACAAGTGGAACGTTTTTCCTTTGTTCTAAATGATAATTATCTTTTCTTTTTTTTGAGATGGAATTTCACTCTTGTTGCCCAGGCTGGAGTACAATGGCGTGATCTTGGCTCCCTGCAACCTCAGCCTCCTGGGTTCAAGTGATTCTCCTGCCTCAGCCTCTCCAGTAGCTGGGATTACAGGCATGTGCCACTACATCTGGCAATTTTTTTATTTTTGGTAGAGATGAGGTTTCACCATGTTAGTCAGGCTGGTCTCAAACTCCTGACCTCAAGTGATCCACCTGCCTCGGCCTCCCAAAGTGCTGGGATTACACAAGTGAGCCACTGTGTTGGCCAAAAGATGATTAACTTTAATCCTAGGAAATTTTAGAAGTATAGTAAAACACAGATCTTTTAAATAAATATTGCCCCATTTCAATTGTGTCATGGACTTTACACAGTTGTATCTTGGGAACTCTGTTTTCTTAATGATTTATTACCAGTTTAAATGACTATCTCAGCTAATAATTTTCAGTTGCTAAACTACCAAATTTCAGAGATTTACTTACTTTTAGTTGCTATGAAAAACACATTTACTGTAGAGATCAACTGTAATACATATAAAATTAGAGCAACCAAATGTATGTACAGATCATGTTTTAATTAAAAAATTATATTTTGTTCCTCATACCTTATTAAAAACATTAAGAAGTAAATGTCTTTAGTATTGGAGTACATATTTGTATGAAAACATGCTATTTTCATAATTCAGTTTTTTGGTGTGTGTATTAAATTTGTGTGGAGCTTTATATAAATTTTTATCAACTTTTATTGTTGATCTAGAAATGCTTGTAATAACCTAGAATTCCAGAGCTTGGCTTCTTATTTGGGTAACAATGGTTTAAGATTTTGGACAGGAAGCTAACTTTGCTATGGAATTGAGATACTAATTAGTAGTGTAGGATTGATGAATTTAGGATCAAAAGTAGAGGTATGACACATTTCAAAACTTTGCCTTAGAGAAGTGGGTGTTCAATCTTTTGGGCCACATTGAAAGAAGAATTGTCTTGGGCCACATGTAAAATACATGACCACTAATGATAGCTGATGAACTAAAAAAAATATGCAAAAAAATTTCATCATCTTTTAAGAAAGTTTATGAATTTGTACTGGGCTGCATTCAAAGCCAGCTTGGGTGGCATGTGGCTTGCTAGCTGCAGGTTAAACAAGATTGCCTTATAGCATTATAACTAGAGAGGTGTACAAAGATACAACACTATCTGCTAAATTCTTTTCCCAATATTTTTTCAGAAATCATATTTTTCTTATATCTCAATTTATAGTGCTTGCTATAGTTCTACAAGGTACCTATTAAACCAGACTAAAATTACTTATTTCCTAAGTGAATTCACTCTCCTGGTATCAACAGTAAAGGACTTTTCCTATGTTAGAGTTCATTTCAAATCAGGAATAGGTTGATATCATCACCATACTCATTCAGCTATGAGTATTTTGTAAGCCTGCAAAAGTGTTTTATGGATAAAATCTTGATTATTGGAATTTATAGATTTTTTTTTGATAGATAATTTAATGGCAACTTAGAATATAAATTATTAAGTGATTTTAACCTAAAAATAGCATTCATTAACTTTTAGCCTAAGTAACAATTGAGTTGTGAATGTACATACACACACACACACACACACACACACATAAATCGAGTTGAATTTTATAATACAAGTATGGTTCAAATAATTATTGGAATCTGTCCTTCAA